TTTGTTCTTTGGGCTGTATAGACATTGCTTTACATCTGTATAATAATGTTTGGGTTTCTATAATACTCATTACATTCAACACTCTTACTTTAAGTTACATGAGTAAGCAAATTCATATTATATATATATATATTTATTTGATTTATGGTAAATATTATTTACATTTATTTGTTCTCATAATAATTTTTAAATAATAAAAATTTCTTATATTGTTTTGTATAGAAAATGTAATGAGTGATCATCCCGTCGTGCAAAATAGCATAAAGCTGGGAGATAGTATTTTGCATATTCAAGGACATTCACCGTTATCAGATGTCACAATTTCCATTTGGTGTGTGTGTGTGTATATATATATATATATATGTAATGTTACTTTGTATTATTGGTTCTACTTTATTTCTATTGCAGTGTTTCGACCTACAAATTCGTGTACTCCTGGCAATACTCTATATTCTAACATTTGGAGTAAGAATTATATATTTAAATCTTTTTCAATTAATTGAATACTTTTACAACAAAAACTAATTGTTTAGTTGTAAATTACAGGTACTATTCAATCATCCCACAGTCCTATATCAAGATTGAATATTCCACGATATAAAGAACATGCGTCTTGAGAGCATTTCAGATGTAGACGAACGTGATGAGCTAACAACATTTCCTGAGTGGATTGCGAGCATTGAAGATGGGACTATAGGAGGATCAAATGACGGTTGTGCCGCGATTGACATTCCAGAGGATATACGATTGAATACCTCAAATGATCCAATTGCTACAATCGTCGAAAGTACCTATCCAATGTTCAAAAATGCAACTGACGATCCAAGTTATTTGAAGGACAGAGCTATATTAGCGCCTACTTTGGAGGTCGTTGAGTCTATCAATCAATACATGTCGGATATGAATTCTGCTGAAGGTCGTACATATTTGAGCTCTGACAGTACGTCTAAGTCGGATTCCGGCAATGGCTTTTTGGCTGATCTCCACACACTTGAGTTCTTGAATAGCATTAAGCGTTCGGGAACGCCGAACCATGAGTTGCATTTGAAGATAGGAACTCCAGTCATGTTGTTGCGAAACATAGACCATTCTATGGGTCTGTGTAATGGCACACGTTTGGTTGTTACGAAACTCTCTCCGCATGTTCTTGAATGTAGGATATTGACTGGAGATCACGCAGGTGAGAAGGTGTTGATTCCTCGGATGAATATAACTCCTTCTGACGTTAGGTTTCCGTTTAAGTTCCAACGAAGGCAATTTCCCCTTATGGTTTCCTATGCCATGACCATAAACAAGAGTCAGGG